GGAGTAAGGTTATCTGGGAGCAAAATAATAGAGTACTACATTAAGAAAAATAGGTTGGCAACCGCTTCGTAATCTTTTTCAAAAATACGTGTCCTGGGACCAAAAAGATGCATAAATGCAAAAAGTGGTTGAAAATGTGGAGTACACAAGCACCCAAAATCTGAGGTTGGTTAGGGAAATGCAAGCATCTAAAGTAGGAATGGAAAAATAAAAAAATTATGTACTTGACTTCGATAAGGACATGAATTTATTGGAGGAAAATTTGGCGATGTGTTCTCAGACAGTCAAAGTACCACCAAAATAAATATCAATTCACAACCGGAGCAGAACAATACATAAAAAATTTACACACATTCGCACATACGCAGATTAACTATGGTAAGAAATGCTCCGAACTGGCATATCAATGAGAGAATCGACTGAGAGAATCATATCCAACGGAGAGATGTGATGTCCGAACTTTAGGATAGCTAGCAATTACTAAATTATACTATGATGGACCTGAATCAGATGAGTGTTATCGAGTCTTCAAGCAAAGTGAGATGTATGACGGCGACTATGAGTCGAACTTAAAAGTTGAAGTCTTCTGGCGATGCACCAATGTCGGTGTCCGAGTGTCTGCCGTCACCACCAGCAACTGCGTGAGGAGCAGAAAACTCAAACTCAGTCTGCTGAATTATGCCAGTGTTCTGAGGATCAAGAGTAGCAGTGAATTCGGGGTTACAATCGAGTTCAGAAAAGGCATCGGCAGGGCACTCAGATCCACTAACAGCGACATTGCTGAGCTCATCATCAGGAGCCTAAAGGAAAAAGAAAGCGTAAGTTAGATGTAGAGAGAAGATTAAGTATATTAGCAAAACTCACCACAGGGCCGAAGTAACGACGGATGATGCCAAAAGCGAGCTTGTAGATTTCCTCATTATTATGTTGTTGCAATTCTTCGATAAGATCCAAACCACCACATTCCTCAATGGTGTTTGTAACAAGCTCTAAGTGATCGCCTGCTCGTCTAAGAGCATTTGAGATGCCATCTAAGACGATTTGAACAACTTGGACATCTCTGGTCTTGAGCATGTTGCAAAGAGGAGCGGTGACGCCTTGCTCAATTACATAACGCACTTGATCAGAGTTCCCGTTGATCGTCAAATTTGAGATTGCCCATGCAGCCTCCTTCTGTGTGGGGAATTCGCTGTTAGTAAGATGATGTAAAATGAATGGGACAAGGTTGTTATCTATCACTGCTTGAACTTGACTCTGATTTCCTGCCGTAATGTTCGACAGGAACCAAACAGCCTCCTTTTTGATTTTATCTTTTTCATGAGCCAGCAGTCGTGGAAAATGAGAGAGTGCTCCACAATCTAGAACAACTTGTGTCTGTTGATCAGTCCCTGTGACAATATTTCCCACGGCTCGAAGTGCTGCCGTTTGTACCTTAAAGCTTGAATGAGACATAAGTGGGACAAGATGGGGTACGATTTCAGCGTTGATAACCATATCGATTTGGTCATTACCGCCATCAGTTAGATAGGAGATAGCCCATACAGTGTCAACAAGAATCTGTAAGAAAAATTAACCGATTAACTGACAGGATTCGGGACAGTAGTCATAAAAATATAAACATACGCTATTGTCGTTATGCTTAATCAAGTAAAGTAAGGCTGGCAATATCTCCTTTATGACAGAAGGGTCCGGAGGTGGCTCCTTATTTCTGCAAAGATTTACAATCACCCAAGTCACGTTCCTGAGGAAAGAGAGCTGGAGATCAGTAGTCAATAATTTGAGCAAGGGCTTGAGCACACCTTGCTGGATGACGTAATCCCTGAGAGTGGGACCATCTCCAATTATATTTCCTAGGGCCCAGACAGCTTGCTCACAGACATTTGCATGTGGTGATGATAAAAGGTCAATAAAAAGAGGAACCGCGTTGGCATAGACAACGGCCAGTGTCTGCTTAGACGTTCCAGAAGCAATATTAGTCAGAGCCCATGCGGCTTCAAACTGCAAGTTGTGACTGAGAAGGTAATAAAAAAAAAACATACTCTTCGCTCCCGAGACATGATACCAGCATAGGCAATATATTAGCGCTAATTAATTCATCAATAGGCGGATTTCGATCACTAGAAAGTACTTTTCTTGCCGATTGGACGACCATCAACTTAGTCGCCGGGTTTGTTGTCTCTGCA